TGTAGGGAGGCATCTGATTATACTCGACGTTTAACGATTGCTCTAATGCAGCGCTCTGAGGAGAACGATTACCGTCAGCGGGACCTGAGGACAGCAGCACCACGTCCTTGAAGATTTTTAAATAGATGTCACATATCGAATGTACAAGATTCAATTAATGTCGGATCTTCGATATACAGAAAAAATTGATACTGAAAAATTGATTTTGCAAAAACATAAATAGTGTTTAAAATTTAAGGCATTAGATGAAAATAGTTATACGATTCGCGCGATAATGAATCAAATTATTTCTACCTCTTGGCCTAATCTGGGGTGGAGGCATGTTAATAGGAGGTAATCCAGGGCAGATTGCGGGTGGTTCTCCTTCTCTCGGAATCGGCGGTGGTCTACCCCAAGGAACTCTCATATGATGATTTTGCCACGGCGCCTGCGGCGATGGCGGAGGCGGTAAAGGTGGACCGTTTCCAATAAGAATATTCCCAGATTCCGTCATTACATTCTGCTCATTTCCTGTTTGCAACATATATCATGCACACTGAAATTACACCACAAACAGGAAATTTTTTACATGATGCGATACTATATGCCCTACATACCTGAAGATAGACCTGCGGGCTTTTGATCCAAGTTCCGTTTCTCACCTAAACGATTAAGATGGATGATATGAAGGGAAAGATACGACATATCCTTAAATAACTATATATACAACATAATGTTGTATAACATATGGTAAATTATGCGATGAAATATTGTAAAATCAAACTTGCTATTTCCAACATAATTAATCTTGATAATTCCAATATCTATTCATCAATCACAAACGTAAATTATAAAAGCAAATGTTTTCTAAATTTGGATGCAAATCTAATAGCAAATTAGTTGCATAACAAGATCATATCCATATTATAAGAAGACTGCTGCCGGTTTTCTCATCTTCTGCTTGAGAGTACTGTAGCATTAAAAAGAAGAGTTTAGTTCTCTAAACTCCCAAATCTAATCTTATAGGATTAAATTAGATATTTGCACAATATTTCACGCCATTAACCATTGCCAAATTTGCATAGCAATTTGGCAATCGCTATTAAAGTCTGAAAGCAAGCAATGCAATTTTTACATTCTCATATATATTAGATGGTTACCGTTTAATAAATATGATCAGTTCCACTAAAAATATAAAGCCATACAGTTATATATATGTATATTTGCCATCTGTAAAATAAATTTATTTATTAAAACTACATTTTTCAAATTTCTTTCACTTTTTTACGATCATTCAGGCCACTGCAACAAGAACGATATAAGGAATATTATATGATATCTATAAATTATGTAATCATTTTCTCTCTCTATATATATATATACATTGCGCATATTAATATTATATTATCTATATAAAAATAAGACATGTTTGTTCGAATGCAACATAGATCATCTCTATTCCTCCTGGATAGATATAATCAGGTGCAGACTGCGTTTAACCTAAGAAATATAAAGTCCAAGATATTGAACTTAAAATAGTAATATCAAAAATATATATGTAACATATATATTTCTTAACAGAATCCTAATAAAGTGTAAACATGGTTAATATTGGATAAACAAATACTGAAGTGAAAAATCACAGGTTACACTTGCACATCTGAAAATGCAAATTTATTAAAAAAGACATTATAAAAAAAGCATTGAAATCAATATACTCGAAGCACTTTCACGATTGTATAATATGTGCAGTGCTTTTTTTGTCTGATCTAAAATAATAATAATAAATAAATTTAAAGATAATTATATACCCCCAAAGCACATTCTGCAGTATCAGATTGTAATAATCCATGTTATTTCCGGATGTCCGTTTCGGCAGGTATCCTCAACAAATGCATAAAAAAGCAGTTTGCTAAGACGAAAATTAAAAGATCAAAGAAAGTTGATATAATATGCGCTTAACACAAATTATTATTTATATTAATAATACACTATGATCTAAGAGTATTAAGAAAACAACGCTAGATACCTATCCAAAACATATTTTACTTCTAAAATAAATGATTATTGCATATTGTTTCCAAATTGCATCCACATGAATGCATCGTGTTTATGTACATGATAAAAAATATCATTACCAACAACAAAGTTGTATTCAAGAAGGAATCTGGAATCTGATTAAGACAGTTAAAAAATTGAATGTTCTTCAAGAATACAATCTTCGTGCTGGTTTATATTTTATATATCGTATTTTTCATAATTTCCAAAAGATATCCAGCATTTTTTCAAGCTAAATACTCTTAGTTACAGACCTGGATGTGGAGGTGGCATTAGCATCTTGTTTCGATCTCCATGTGGCAGACCCGCAGGTATGGGTGATGGACCATGTAAGACTTGCTGTTGTCGATCACCTTCTCTGCTTAAACAATGCAGGTGCGAATTATTAATTCCAAATTAACGATTGTACAGAAACATTTCAAGCATTTAAGACAAAAATCACCTGATGCACACCCTCGGATACTTCTGAAATATGGAAAATACCTGGTTTTACCAGATCACAGTTAATCATGTCAAAACTTACGTTAGAATGTTCTTAGGAACATAATTGTAATGTCACAAGACGTTACAACATACATTTAGATAATCTGTCAATTATTTTAGCTGCTGTACTTTTTTCTGCAAAATAGCAACTATTGTCGCATTCCATCTCTTTTGGCTTATCACTTACACTAAGAGAACATATAATAATTAGTGATTCTGGCAAAAGCTGTATTTAGATTTATGATTCCAATGTTATAGAATCATGGACAACATGAGGAAAATGTAAGATAGTTTATTATTATCTCTGCAATTTATTTTTGCAAAGATAATAAAATTGTTCTATAAAAAAGAAAAGTCTATATAATTATTCAAAATTCAAAGAAAGAAATAATATTTTGTGGAAGAGCAAGATATATCCATAATTATAAAATTGCCGAACGTTTATGACTAAAGCAAAAAGTTCAAACCACTAGTTTACACCTCGAGTTAAACTATTATTAAAAACTGCAAAATAATTTATCAATAAGGATATATCCGGATCTTACCAAACCAATGAGTCTTGCCTATAGTTATTATCTGTATTATAAAATTTCGCGGAAAAATATAGCATTATCTGTCTGCAGATATATCAGTCAAATATAAAAAATATCTATTATAAAAACTTTATATTTTTATTTTCCGCGCTTTTAATACTATTGCAATACCTCATTAGATAATGCAAGAAGCAGGTTTCTGTAAGAATATAGTACATAGTTTATATAGTACATAACACATAGCTTACATTTTCTTCATGTCAAATTCTACAATAATTTATAAACATTTACTATAAATGAAGCATAAGCAGTCTGAAGCAAATGTTTCTTTATTTTCTTAATTTTTTCTATCAATAAGATCAATTTTGTTCACATTTCTTTTTCATAAAGATTTTTTATCCTCGATTGAACTTATTGCATGTTTACTCTAGTATTCTGTACTGAATATTTTAAACTTTTCTTAATAGTATTGATTTAAAAATGTTTACTCTTGGTAAACCTGCTTTATTCAAGCATACAAAAGTTTTTTCTCTACCAAGAGATACACAACTAAACATATAAAATTATTACTAAAGTTACACATATTAAATTATATACTCCTTATATTATATACAGGTAGACTACATGATTTACATGTATACAAGGAATATATAACGTAACTTTATAAAGTTACATTAATTTATACATTGTAATATCTCACTTTCTTTTTCTTTCTCTTTCTCCCTCTCTCTCTCTCTCTCTTTTTCTCTCTTTCTCTCTTTCTGTATGAGTAAGAATAATTATATTTTCTTCGACTTACCCTGTGCCGTGACGTTGCGCAGGTATTGGAACACATTGGTATGACGGTGATAGTTCCTGCAACATATATTCAAGAGAATTCATTATGTAGATATAACAATTATCGTTTATATAATCACGTATTTCAATTTGATATATTTGTGGCAAACGATACTTTACCTGTCCTCCCTCAACATCTGAAAATCTTCTCTTTACTCCGTGAGATTTTTGCTGTTCCGGCGAATCGGGTTTCTGCTCGAATTGCTGATGTGGCGGTTGCATCGTATAATGTATTTGCGCCGGTATATGACCGTTCTGATATTGTATGTGCTGAGGATGATATTGTATTTGAGCTTGTACTTGTGGTGGAGGTACGTTATGAAAAGGTATATTCTGCGGCGGCATTTGCATCTATAAATAATTTAAAAAATATATATATATATATCATTGCGCCGGTATATGACCGTTCTGATATTGTATGTGCTGAGGATGATATTGTATTTTTGTATTTGATTGTGGTGGAGGTACGTTATGAAAAGGTATATTCTGCGGCGGCATTTGCATCTATAAATAATTTAAAAAATATATATATATATATATATATATATATCATATGTTATATATTCTTTTTACATATGAGCCTCTCAAAAGCCAAATTGATCAACTCCATTTTTTATAAATTACTTAATTTTAATACTAGAGCACTACTTATTTACAATGGACGGTAAAAATATGAAACGAAATGTCTAACCTGCAATTGTCCTTGTGGTTGCGGCATTTGCTGCGGCTGCTGAGCTTGATAGAGCCAGGGAGCGTTCTGCGGTGGAGGCGGTTGCGTCGGCGGCGGTACGCTGGTAAGAATATTCATGGAATTCGGCATCTGGCTGATTGACGGCGGCGGTACTATTTGCGGAGGTGGTACCGGCTGCGGTAACGGTCCCTGCTCCATCGGACCCTCTTGCTGATGCTGAATCTCGCCGGCGGGAGGAAGAGGTGGTTGCGAATGATGTTGGGGCGATTGGGCGTTAGGAACTAGAAAAGTTTGCGCGGACGGCGGAGGAGGTACTTGTAAGTGAAACGGTGGCGCATGACCTTCGAATTGCGGAGGTATTATATGTTGGGCGACAGCTTGAGACTGCTCGTGATTCTGTTGCAGCTGGGGCGGAATAATATGCTCACCGGGTTGCAAAACAAACTGGGTTTGTGACTGCGACACAGGTACCTGTTGATATTGTATCTGGTAGGTTTGCGGTACTGGAGGCGGTGGTTGATTCGGCGGAAAGTTTGGCGGCGGAAAATGAAGGTGTAACAACGGCGGTGGCGGTTGCTGCGTTATATTGAGCGGCGCTGCGGGAGGAGGCTGTTGCAAATTGACATTAACAGTTTCGATAATTCCCTGGGACGGCGTGGCGGGCCTTTGCATGTTCGGTTGCGTGCACACATACGATACTGCCCCGCTCACCGGCGCGTTACTACTCGTTATAAAGTTTTGCTGCGCAGGACTTTGTGGTGGCGGTTGACTCATGACGTACATTTGAGCCATAGGCTGTGGTGAGGACTGCGATCCTGGTTGAATTCCCTGGATTTGTAATGACTGACCATGATGTATCTGATACTGAACTTGACTTACTGTCGATGGAGGACCGATTAATTGTACTTGCCCAACATGTGGTGGTGGTGGCATAAAAGTTTGTATTTCCTTCAATCAGAATATTCATTTATTACAAGATTTATTTTCTTCAAACAATTTTATGTAATAAGAAAATATCTAATTCGAGTTTAATCACGCATACCTGAGCTTGTGAAGATGGAACTAATGGTCCAGTATGAGATGGTATATGAATTCCTGGAGGAGGAACTGATACACCAGGCCCTGGAGTACCAGCTACAGTAGCCGTAAGAATTGTTGCAGGCAATGTTACAACATTACTTTGTGAATGTTGTATAATATCTGCCAAATATATATATTTTTTTTGTAAAAGGTATTAATAATATATAATTCATATATCTTACCTTGATGCTGTATTGCAACCACATTTGGTTGGCCTAAGGTACCAATGTTCATAGTTTGGAATTGTGCTATATAAACAGAAAAAATATTATTACAAAATTTCTGTGGATACAATTATTATAATCTTGAGAATTGAGGGCAATAAAATACATACTTTGCGGTATTTGTGATTGTTCTATAACTTGCTGAGGTTGTACTGGTGGTGGCTGTTGTTGAATATAGGTCTGTAATTCGGACTGTATTGTCTGTATTAAGTTAATAGCCAATTGTTTTGCATTTTGCAATGCTTCCGGCTTTGGATGTCTAAACAGGAATATCTTATCAATAGCTTATCTTTACTTAATTATTAAATTGCTTAAAATCTCAGGAATTCTTACTCTATATACAGGTGAAGAGGTTCTGGAGATTCTGCTCCCACAACTGGATCGATAAATTGGGATCCTCTACCTCTTAAAGTTACATTTGCTCCAATTTCACTTCTAATGTAAACTAAATTTGCATCACCAGCACCTAATATTCGCCCGCGTAAATCAAAACCTTGCGGTGCATTCTCGATACCAATGCATATCTTTTCCTAATAATTTGTAATGTCAATTAATATTGCTACATAAAAAAAAATTGTAATTGTAAATAAAATGTGAAATGCAGATATTATTTACCACAGTTGTAATTCCGGAATGTAAACTCATGAGAGGTGGTGGAGCATTTGTAAATCTGCTTGGTCTATTTAAAGAACTTTGATGTTCTGTCTTAATAATTTCATTAATCTTTTGGATCGCCACTGTTAAATAAAATATTTATTACAATAATACACCTTCAATAAATTTAAAAAAAAATTATATATAATACATACAGTCAACATTATGTCTTGTATGTCCCTGTATATATAAATACAATGGCCTCTCATTTGGACAACGCAGCTTTTCTTGTTCTGTCATAAAACGCCCACGTGTTGATACAGTTGCTCCTAAATCAACATAATATAGAAAAGTAATAGATTTACATAAAGAATATATAATATAACATAACAATATTATATATATCAACATAAGATAAAATACCTGAATACGAATTAATTTCATCCTGTGTGTAACCCTTGGTAAGCAAAGTTCTAGCACTAGGCGGTGTTTCGTTAATCTCAAACTCCCATGTATATGTCTCTCCATTTTTAAATGCTGCATTTGATGCCGCTATCTAATTGCAAAAATTGTCACACATATTAATTAAGAAAATATACATCTATTACAACTGTGGAAAGACACAAATTACACACATGCATGACTGCACACAACATACATGTACCTTATTATTAGAGTCAGAACCTTTTATTTTTCCCTTAGCCATAGAGATAAAATGTATACTACTGTATGCAATATGGCAATTCTCATGACCCCATCTTCATAAGCTGTAGATTTAAATCAGAAATAAGCCATATGGGGTAATGATACCAGATAAAAATAGAGATATGTAACAATTTCTATCAACATACGCGCCACAAAGTTTCACCGAACATCATAGCACAGAAATCATTGGAAATTGTCTTAGTATAAAAGAAAATTGACACACAATCTCATACGCGCTCTTTTTATAAAACGGATAACTTCTTTCTTTTAAGTGTTTAAGTTGCATTAAAGTCTACGGCAGTCGCATTTTTCTTAATCGCCTATCGATGATTAAGTGTTTTTTACGAAATAACTAATATAAATTCACTCTCTCAATTTTGCAAACCACTCGATCGTAACTAATACACCATTGGACAAAATAAATTGACATACATGCTATCAAGGCTATCTCTCGGCACTGCAATGCAACCGCCACTGCAATTGCTGCGCACGACATCAAACTTATTCATCAAGGCGAGGACGAAGTGTACTAGGATAAAAACCAACTGTAGGTAAATTCTCGTATCTATTGAATATTGAATGGATTTTTTAGATATTATCTTGCGAATGAAATGAGATAAACAATATATGTCTCATTCGCTTCGAAGAATATATCAACATTTTTCAAAATACAATATATACAATAAATTCTGTAAAAAGAATGAAGTATATATTATTAGGATGATGATTTATGAAATAATGTTTTGTATGTGTGGAATAAATCTATTTAATTATTTAACATTTTACATGTATACTATCTAAATTTATAATTATTAAATATAATCACAAATTAGATCTTATATATGCGCTATTTCACGAAAAACAGTATCAGGTTGACACACTTATAAAGTAGCTTATCTCTAAAAATGCTAAAGATAACAATGTTATCTCATATTAGCTAGCACCATTCATTATTAACAAAAATCTAAATTTAAATATATTTTCTTGAATCATGAAAGATATAAAATTTTATTAAAATTGAAATAAACTATTGAACAAGTAACAATATTATTATGTCAGAGAATTAGTATGGTTTACAGTAGTGTTTTATATTACTTTTGTTCGACTATTTTTCATAGTGAGTTGTAACAATCAGATTCTCTCAGATTCTACATTGCTTTTGTGACTACCAAAATACTAACTTGTACTAAAAAATATTCCACATACTTTAGGCTTTATTACATTAATTAATTTTGCATTGAAGTGCTATATACATTTCGCTTGTTACAATTGCAAATTATGTATGTTGATATACATGTCCCAAACGAGAAATATTTAGGCAAAAGAGTATGCATACGACCAATCTCCCCCTCTTGTACTTATCATGATTTCTTTAACATTGTTACACAATAATTGTTATACTATATTTTTGGTTTCTGCATAGATCTCAATTAAAACAATAAAAACATAAATTTTGTACATTTCCAATTCTAAACATTAATCCCCCCTATTTGTTTAATTAATTAATAGTTAATATATCAACTCTACAGCTGATACATTTAAATCATTTCAATGTTTAAATTTTGAAAAATATACATATATATTCTGTATATATATTTGCTGAAAAATTAAAATGCATATAATTTCATTATTAATATATTATAAATATTATCATAAAATTTGCATATTTTTCAGAATATTGTATTTATTAATCATAGCAATCAGTAAAATCAAGAAGATTATCTATAAAATTATGAAAAAATCTTGGGTTAACTCCTTTGGCATGCCTGTATGTGTGGCTCACTTAAATCAAAGTATTTTAAATGATCACAAGATATATAATTGACAAAACCCGGCATATATATCCAATATAATTTATCTCCAATGGCCAATTAAGCAAACATGAAGAATGTCAATATTACATACGCAAAAGATATTACGTGTAAAAGATAAGCTCGGGTATTTGACCTTCATCAGTGGATGTACCATTATTATCTCCCAACTCGCTACTGAATTCGAATTTCACTTTTGTATTTCCTGAATCACAATCCACTAATACTGTTCTTAATCCTTTTGTGCCGTAATATGAGCATGGCCCCTGAAATAAATATACATATTTTTTATAAAAAATCATATGTATAACGATAAATATAATAATCATTAAATAAATAGCAAGTTTGTGATAAAACCTTGAAGGTTGCTGATGCTGTATAAATCGTATTTGGTAAGATTTCCGCTAACTCTTTAAACATTAGACGGTATGTGTACTTTGATCCATCACAGCTAAAACTTGTTGCATTTGTAGCTATCACTTTTCCCGACGCAGTGTGAATTAATTCCACTGATACTTCATATATCGCTGGTTCTTGTGTGCAACCATAAACTCCATAGCCAATAAGAAAAATACGCCTATCCACACTAAATCTACAAAAATTAAAATGTTTTATAATATCGGGCATTGCGCGAGTATTGTTAACTATGTACTATGATAAAATTCGAACTTAATTACCGGATACGATCACTAGTTCCAAAATATCCCCATCTACTTTTGGTATGCTGAAATCTGCACACAGTCTGTTCCTTGCCTGTCATACAACATCGTGGCATTGTTTGAAATCCCACTGAAGGTTTAGGATTCAGTATAAAATATGAGAATAAAGATAAAACCTATAAGAGATATTCGTTTATTAAATATCATATACACACAATATAGCTCTCCTAAAATTTATAAACCCCTTTTAAGAATGTAATAAGAAAATTTATAAAAAAGATATGTATTTAAGAAGTATTGTAATACTAGCCTCTGAATAATTTAATAAGCCAGATTGTGCCGGACCTGCTGTAAACTCTTCTTTTGACATAAGTGGAAAACGAACCAATGACAGAGCATTACCTAGGACCAGACGTTGATTTTCTGGAGTAACTGGTGATTGCTGCCTTATACATTCAGCTTCTGACCACCTATACAAAAATTTAAACAATATATAAAATAAAAAAAAACATTCTACAGTTGCAACATACCTTAGAACGGCCTGAAATAGCTTAGATTCCCTAACACGAAGTGTATCTCTTTCCAAGACTATCATCAATGTATCGATATCAATATCTGTGAATCCATCTGCATTGAGAGCCTGAGTTGTAAATCTATCTATCGTATCCAAACATACTGAGGCTAATTGCGGTTCATCAAACAGACGGGCTTGTGTTAACAGCAAAAAAGCATTATCACTGGTCAAATTATTTTTTAAAAAGTCAACGCAATGCTTTTCTAAAGCAGATACTGCATATTTCTTAGCGGTATACAACGTTGTCATCACAGTTTCAGGATCTATCTGTATCTCATCAGTATATAGAAAAAGTAGCACTGCCAAAAATGCAGCAGGCTCTACATCAGGTACTTCTATTTCTGAAGAAGCTGTAGCAAGCGTTCCATTAAACATTGCATCAAATACAGCGCTTCCAGAAGACAGGACTAGTTTGTGAGCTGGTATGCGTTGTTGTTGCGCTCCTCTTCCCACCAGAAAAGTCACGTCTGACAGTATTTCATTATTAAAAAGAAATACAATTCTTTCGCGCATCGTCGCCTTTGTACCTTGCCAATTGTATGTAACTGCAGGCTGATTTTGTGTGGAAGAGTTTTCTAAGGCGATAGTATTCTGTGGTCGCCCTTCCAAATATGACGTATTCGCCGCATTAATAGGTGGTGGTCGGCTGAAAAGTTTAAGATTATGACAACTAGAGTATCAAACGATGAATATCAAAGAGCGCACAGTAAATAATACAATATTTGAAATATGTTTTTATATAAACAATAATTAGCTATCTCACTCTATCTCACTAAAACTGACGTTTGACGTGAAATTGTCGCGGTGCTACTTACTTATCGCCGTTCGAGTACGAGGCCTCGCTTCGCGCCACGGACGAGCTCGTCGTCGGCTGATCCTCGTCGCCGACGAAGTTGAGCGCTCGTCGTGCCCGATAGAGGGTGATGTTCCGCAGCGGTTCCCGCAACGATGACGATCCATTACCTCCGGTGGCCGTCGAACTGCTAGCCGTTGCGTTCTCCGTCACGTCATTTTCATCCTCGCCGTGCGTCGCCAACCGTAGGCCTTGCAGCCTCGACGCGACGTTGGGCACCTCGTTCAGGGTGGTCTCCGTAGACATAGCGTTCCCACACGAGAGAGAGACGTAGTACTTGCCGAAGTACTGCCCCGTCTCATTTAATCGCGTCGCTTCGCGCAATCGGCGGCCCTGCGTTTGCCGAACGCGTTTCTTATCCCCGTCTTGTCTCGCGGTCTCGCGATCCTCTTCGGACACGAGCAAATTCTCGTTCAATGTGTAGGCACCGAAGAACGACGACGCACTACAACGACATCTTACTGAATTCCTATCCTCGCCCTCGCTGCAATCCGTTTATTCCCCAAGACTACACGTGAAGGGACTGGAAGGGATAAATTCTCGTGTGTCGGCACGAGCGGCATCGACGATGAAATGTACCCGCAAAATCTGTGTGCTGCGAAATATGTAATTAACCGCTTCGATTATATCTTTCATAATTCGCGGCTTTATATATTTTGATCATTTCAAATATTTATTAAACTACATTCATTCTCTTGGAGATTTTAATTTTTTGTACTTATTTTCTCTGTTCTTTCTCGCGTTTCAAAAGTATGCTCACATTTCATATTATTAAGTGCAGAAAGTGCAATAGCAGTGAGCAATGGACAGACCGAAGTTGCGAGTAATCGATCATTTCGATACTTCGAGAATCTTTCGAATTACCGCCATTCCCGAAATGCGCCGCGAATCGCGAAGACGTATATCGAGTCGCTCCGTATTTTTCGGGATTTTTCGGGACGTATCTGTATCTGAATCTGAAAGTATCTAAATCTCGCGCACACAATAAGTTATTTAAAGTATCTTATGAAGTGTTTTGTTGTAACGTACACATTGTGTACAATTATTAATATCGCCATTTCGCTGTTGACGATCAGAATCTACGTGCTAATATCCATCGTAAAGATCACCGCCATGTTTCCCGCCAAAGTGCATGACCATTACCAAGTATGTATGCATTATACATTGTTTTCTAATTAACTACATCAATATATTTTCTGTAATTCGTTATTTCAACTATTCTTAATATCTATTGAAATATAATCGAGAGAGAGAGAGAGAGAGAGAGAGGAAGAGAACTGTACTTTTCTTTCTATATATGTTATATTTAAAGAGAGAGAGAGAGAGAGAGAAAGGAAATTTATTACCTTGATATTTTAATATATATATTTTACTATATATACTATATATATATTTTTTTTTGATATTGTAAATTCGTATATTAAATAAATTATTATGTGTATATATATGTGTGCATTCTCTTTATTAGGCTATTTTTAACATACAAAATGGTCGCCTCTCTCTCTCTCTTTCTTTCTCTCGATAATATTGTGGGTAGAATAAAAAAACAAGCTAAAATAGTAACAGAAAAGTTCTAGTCTTTCTGCGAAACAGGAAAACGTACTATCTACGGATCTTTTTAGCAAAACAAAATTTATTTTTTTCTTCTTCTGTCCTGTTCAACTGTTTATTTAAACAAAATCATATATTATAGGTAGGAAGATGAATGATAAAATCAAATTTTATAAACAAATGTATTAATGATGTTTATGTACAATGTTTACAATACACGATATAGAAAACATGTCCGCATGTTTATGGTGTTACATATAATACAACAAATATCAACTCATTCAAACTATTAATATATGGCAGTTATGATGAGAAGAATATGTGTCGAGAATAATTAAAAAACCATTAATACTATAAAACATACATAAATATTGTGATATAAAATAGCAAACTGCTTATTTCTCACAAAAATATGTACATTAAAGATTTCTCAGATAATTAATGTATTAATATAGGGTTATTTTGCCAGTATATATAAATTAAAAATACAGATCTCCGCAAATATAGCTACATTGCGCATCACAATATTGCATAAAGTGATCGAAACTCAAAACTATCAATGTGCGGTGCAAGAAATTTACAGGAAGGAGATAAGGAAAATAGTTTATGCATTTTTTTTATCCATCCGACTGTTGATCCAATTTCTTTTATTTATATGCATTATATCGATGTGCAATGGAATCTGGAGAGGAAAAAAAACTTGATCTTAATAACTTTACAAGTATTTTTCCGCATCTTTTACAATAATCAGATTTATCAATAATTGTCATGGCTGAGTGTTGGCACGTCTTACTCATTCTAGTCAGCTCTTTCTATGAATCCTATTAGTTAAATATGTATGTGTGTACTTTGCACCAGGTTAAGTTAATTAAATAAATTTTAATAGACTATGATTCACACATTATTTTAACGCAATAACGTGGATTACAGATCTATACATAGACGTAGCAAATTAGATACTAATCAAAATACTATATATTCTATTACAACTATATTGTATGTATTACTGAGTACATACAAATTTATAATATACAGAAAAGTAAAAATACAGAATGAAAACTGGCCGCTGGTAAAATGAAAAATGGATTTGGTAAGCTAAAGTATTAAATTAAGTGAAATGCACATCGAGACATACGCTTATTATATTAAAAATTAATAAAATTATTCTGATATTATTCTAAAATATTGCTTTCGCTTATCACCACTTCAATCAACTGCTATATTCGTTGTCTCCATTTTTCAAAATTTTTCTATCAAAATAATTATGATAATAAATAGAAGGAAATTATAAACACTTTAAAACACACTAAGAAAGGTTTTCGTAAACGAAGCACCAAAAAGTATAAATCTATTAATTGATGGCAAACGCGTCATTTACAAAACGACGCGTTCCATATGATAATGTCTAATAAATTAATTATGTAGTAAATTGTCATCAGAAAATTGATGATACGATCGTTGGTAACGTTTTCATTGCGCCCTGCTATCTGACGAATGTTGGTACTCTTCATTCTTGTTCTGTATGTAGTCTCCCATTCGCTCACGTACATCCTCTCTCAAGTCACTCGCAAGTCAGTAACACAATTACACATACAATGTCCTGTCATTAAGGCGCGAATCGATACTTTCACGTCTCAAAATCCAATTCTGGATCCCTTGATTGACGCTGTTTGCTTTTCGCTCTTCTCGCCTTGGTCGCCGCGATTTTCCTCTTCTTCGGCTTCGGCATGATATGGCAACTGCAGCCGCTTCGGATCATGATATGATCCAACGCCCACCCGGACCCGCTCACGTTATTACCGGAAATCGTGGGAACGTCGTCGTGTTCTTTGTGATGGTGTTCTTTGTGATGGTGCCTTCTGTGCTCTTTCATTTCAATCTGTATGAATTAGAAAATTACCATATTAATTACATTAATATCTCCTAATTCCGCTTGATTATACATATTAACATTTATAAATAGTTATATATAGTTTTAAATAAATTGATAATAGCAAAAGATATCGTAATCGTGAAAATATTAATATATCTCATCTTTTTATAATAAGAATCTATTACTCTCTTAATGATAGAATTATGATAGAGAATTTTTCGATGATTCGCGATCGCACCTTCGGTCCAGGGTTTTCGACGATAGCGTACGAATACGAGAACGTTTGCACGCATCTGGACTGGTTGCTGAACTTCCGGTCGATGAACCTGCACGGCTTATCGAGAACGTCTGGTCTGCAAGAAATCTCGAAGAAACTCTGGACATTCTTGCCGTCCCGATAGAGCGCGACATACATATCTTCTTGATTTCGACCGCCGATCGGTTGTATTACCTCCTTTACCGTAGGACAGCATTCGACCGGAAGGCCCTCCTTGCCTCCTTCCTCACGTATAATCCTATGCATGTCTCGATATGTCATCTGCTTGTTCGTCGGCTCCTCCAGTGGCTCCTCTGTCCTACAATGGCAGACATTTCTCCTGTTTAATCGATTCTTATTTTTAATTAATTCTTTCGTAATCAAGCGTCTCTTTTCACTCTATTAATTTTCTTCGAGAATGCAGATAGAGGGCATATGTTATTTTTACGGAATTTTTGTCGGATCAAATTCTAATCATTGCCGAAGAACATGTACGATCGTCGTGTTAACAAGCGAGTTAATGGAAAATATATGTAAAAAAAATTAAAAAATAAAATCATGTTTCGTGCTACGCCACGCTGGAGCACCGTTGAATTTAAATCGGATTTAGTTCGCCATTGGAGGAAACGATATTCCTCCCATGTTGACCGCGCCCATATCTAAATTACGCGGTAGAATGTTGTAGCGATTTAAAAAAGTTCCGCGAGACATGATATTTTACTTCGTTTCGAATATATTATTAGCATTTTATGCACAGTAATGATAATAATTAAGATAGCGTATTGAAAACTACCGAATAAAAAATGGACACAAAATAACAAATACGAGGTACATCACGTTTCAATCAATCATTATTCACAATTATTATTGAACAAGAGTCATGATTACAAAGAGCTCAAAAAAGGAGAACATATCTTAATTAAAAGTTGTTGTAAATATTGAGAAAGACTAATTTTGATTTTTATATGCTTCAATTAGATCGAGCAAAGCAAATTTAATAACGACAATTATTTCCACGTTTTATTCCGTTATATTTTATTCAAAAATCTTTACTTACCAGCGAGAGATATGTCCTCTGGAAGGCTGTTCCCTGGGCCTTCGAGAGGAGAAGGCTAAAGTCAGATTGTTGGCGGCAGTAAGCCGCGGGCGACACAGGACTGCGGTCAGCCAAACCACCTGCGAACGAGAATCATGAGAACGCATAAATTATTTGTTCACATGTTTGACATCTATGGTCTCTCTCTCTCTCTCTCTCTCTCTCTCTCTCTCTCTCTGATTTTACGAGTTAAAAAAATAAATATATCAATAATTATACAAGCTTTTATCATCTACCTATGATTAAGTACTGATTATATAGAAATTTTCATCTAAATCTATAATTCTATAATAACTATATAATCTTTATTATATCATTTATTAAAGTAGATGTACTTCTATTTAAGTCTGGCAACAAAATCAAGTAAATATATTTCTATTGCAACAGGTACATGTGTCTTAATGCGACAAACGTTGATTATTTGACGCGACGCGATGTGAACAAATCATGTCTGTCGCTCACTGACAAAGGCGCATGATCTTACAATAAATATTTTGCGTATTGTCAGTTTAGAATTGCCTTGATAATAATATCGGCAAAGGATCGCGCGTGAGAAAATACCGAACGGGGCCTCGGAGACTGGTACGCGAGAGAACGCGCGAATGAAACACGGTGTTAGTCACGCATCTCGCCCGAATCCGCGGCACACGTGAACGGGCGCGGTATATACGTGTGAGCTTACGTGGAGGTGAAAACATTAATTCGGCTCATAATTTTTATGCAAAACAGGCCTCACGGCGCCGCCGCCGCCGCCGCCGTCGCCGCTCGCTGCTCGTTAATACGTAAGCGTGCCTCTTTCTCGCGCGGTACACCACACTTTCGATTTAATTGCGCCGTATAACTCGTCATCGCAGGAAACACGCGGAACCGGCCTGCTTCATTCACCGGACTGAACCTCTTTCTTTTCTTTATTACTTCGCAAGAAGATTCTCTCTTAAGATTCGCGTAAAGTGTAATATTTACAGCTCTAAAAAAAACACGGAAAAGAAAGAGCGATATCGATAAATAACTGCAGAAAGTATATGCACGCAATACAGGAAGGAACATAAATATTTCACAAATGGATTCTCTCCACAGCTAATTTTGAACGAAAAATAACGTATCGACAGAGATTTCTGTTCATAATTTATAATAATATACTGCGTTATTATATTATCAAGTATCCCGATAACACTTTTCTTCCGTAATACATTAGGAATCCCTGTCAAAGGATAGAACGAAAGCTTCTCGGCGAGGTTTATATAAACGAGACAACGCGATATAAAGCCGACATCGCCGACGTTTAATTAAGCCATCGTTTCTTCGGGTGAACAGTTAACTAAGCGGCGGCGCCTCCCATACGAGGAACTCGCATTGGACAGAACTGCGCGTTCGGATTAAATGGATGTTTAATCACACATCGAGACCACACATCACGTACCCCGCGATTCTTATCGAATTCTTGCATCATCCGGGGAAGGAATTCTCTTGCCGGCAGTGCGATTTTAATCGTATAAAGATGTACCGGGTACGCGGTGGCAACACGACTTAACGATACTTCGCGTTAATTGCTCGCTAAATCAAGATAATGATTATTACCACAATGCGACCAAATTGTCCGATCATGTACACGAGTGCCAATGAAAAGATCCGGTTATTAACATTTGTATTAAAATCGGATAAGTATATAACTGGCGCAGATTAATAAACTATATTACCTATGTGAACTTAACAGCCTATATTTAATATACTATACTTTCAAAAAAATGATGATATTTTGTTTATAGTTGTTTGTAGAGACAATAATTTCGTTCGTCGTCGAAGCCATAAAAAGATTAACATTTTGAGAAAATAACTGTTATATCCGACTTTAAAAAAAAAAAAATAATAGTAATCTTTGATTTATCTTGATTCAAAATTATTTGTAATTATTTGTAACAATTTCCCTTTCGTTTTTAGTTGCGCTGTTTAAAAGTTACAGTATATATGCAATACTAAAAAACAGTTCATATATAAATAACTATAATATCAACCTGCAGTGAAGATTATACCTCTTATACGCGAAATCACGGCCGCAAGATTTCACGGCGATGCTCCTAAAAATACGAAGTTAAGCCGTTACCTCCATGTCATGCCCGGGCTAAGAGGATGTCAATTAGCGCCGTAAATTCTTTTCTCCCTTTTCCCGCATTCTTTACGATAATGAAACGGATGCTTTCTGCGAAAGTTGAAATTAGCCGATCGTTCGTCGAGCCGAAAAGTATGATGAGATAATCCCGGATATATATCTCTGGCCAAACGCGCTCTCGTAATCCCGTTTCAATCGCCAGGCGATCATTATCCGTCTTCGCAAGTTCATCTAATGACAGTTCGCAACTATCCCCATCTCGATCATTTTCAATCGTCGGCAAATAAAGATTTATCGTCAAAGATTTATCGTCACGACGCATCCGCGCGACGTAAAAGTTGCTTGAGCTACGGCTACGCATTGCAAACTCGTTCCACTTTTACGAGAGTACGCTGTATATATTTTCATACAGAAGGAATTCGTACGTTGATTACCGGACGAAAATACGAACCGGTCCATTATACGCCTTCACGCAACGTGAAGTTAACCGGAGATGACGTTTTTATTGCTTCTTTGCGTTCCAAACACTTTCCTTTTCCCTATAAATAATTTATGTACATTCTGATTTACATTTCAAATCTCGGCAGCATGTATCTCTTATCTGAAAACGTTTACCGATCACTCTGTATCGATCAGTAACAATTATCAATGATATCCTATCTTCCCGCCATTTGTCTAATTGTTAGAATATCTAATATGTCCCAAGGAAGATTAATCGTTAGAGACAGAGATACTTTCACATGCTCGTATCGCTAGCATAATTAATCACAATCGCATTGACCCGATAATACACGATCGCACTAATGACACTTAATTCCAAAAGTTACTTAAGTTATTTAAGGTGACGATAAAGCAACATTCTCCTCTCTCTCTCTTAATCCGGTTGTCTTGGTGTATCAAACAGAGGTGGAAATATCGTCCCTCCCACGTGGAAGCGGCGGAAATAATTTGTGGTGCAATTAGAGTCCCATAACGCATTGACGATGACGGCGAAGCCGGCGGTCGGTCCGGCAGCGGGGCCCGAGACTAGCCCCCCAGCTCTTCGTATCTCATGCCTCCCAGAATGCACTCCGGGTTCGAGAGAGTTGCGATATACGTACAGCTACGATATACTCACGGTATACCGATAATGTTCGGGGAATCGTGGAGACCGGTATCCGGATGAGGACGCTGCTTATCGGCCGACCGTGTTTATATCGCCACGTGGGTGCCCGCCCGAGTCCCGTTCTTTCTTTCTCTCTTTCTCTCTTCCCATTGTAAGCTGCCGGTCCGAAAAATCGGTCACGATCGATTTCATGTTCATGTATACACCCAAGTATATACACGCGAAGTCATCGGTGACTATATCTCAGCGATTGCCGACGACTTTAAGTCATCTCTCGAAATGTATTTAGAGAAGTAGAACTATCGGAAAAGAAAAGAATCGAATTTCGATCAAACTACCGATGAAGAGGTGAGATCTGAAGAAGGATATTTCGTATTATACGTCATTGTTATAGACATTAAAAATTTTCAACTTTCTCCAATAATTCATCGGTCCACAAGCAGGATTATTAATCCTTGCAGCGGGAAACGCGAGTAAACGGTTAATTAAAATCTCGGAATTTTTCAAATCTCAATAGCGTATATAATCGGCGCGCGTTATTTATCGCTACCGGCGATAAGATTTACAGGGTACACCGTGCTGATCTAGGCAAAGGTGTTATTATATATTTAAAACGTATCAGAAACACTAGAGAGATTACCGTTCGTAAAATACACGCGCATTCGCGTAACAAGAGAATGATATCGCGCGAACGTAAATTCCAATTCAATGTAACGATACGCGCGCACGCAGCTCGCGTAAAAAAAAATCGCGACGGCTAAATCGCGGTAAAAATTCGCGACCCTTCTGTCACGACCGGAGGCGGCATTTAACGCGCGTACAAACGTAATCCAGCGGGCATTCTCTTTCGCGCCATTGGCCGCGACTTTTTCACCTCCGGTTACCGCGGGTGCCGCGATTGGAGAAACGCGTGCCGATAATTTATGAGCCTGCTCGAGTGTAGCCGACGCGGTTTCCCGTTCGCAGAAACTATACCGTTTACATTGTGCGCCTGTCGCCGCCTGCGTCCGAGATGTCCGCTACGTCGTAAATAATGAGATATTGTCGTGTCTCCCTCGTTAATAAGCTATTGATTTGAATATCAATTCCGAGTGACGAAAGATCTCTCTTTCGAAATGCGCGCGGAAAAACGCGCCACGTCCCACTTGATTCGATCATCGTGGCTCGATTATGCGAAATATCGCGATAAGGCGTAATATAAATACGCGTAGAGAGTTGCCTTTATTACATTGAAAAAATATCGGCGATTAATTAAACACATTGAAAAACACATCGCACGTTTATAGAGCGTAGGCTCCTGTGTTACATGAACTTTGAATTATGGGAAATCATTCGTGTTATTCACTCTCTAAAGAACATATTCAAATTATGTCTATGTATATAATTGATTCGTCACGAAGAATGTAATCTTCCGCGACTTTTACTGCTCCATTCATTTAAATTAGTGTACATTCGAAGAAGAGCAAGCACACTTTGGCACACAACGCACTTTCGGCTTTTACGCGCCTGTAACGACCCACGGATCGCATTCCGGCAAGATTTTACGACATGTTCGACTATAACACAGATTAGACGTCGTAGATAGTGTACTTTATACATACTTCGAACGAAAGCTGAAGTATGAATACATATACAACTTCGATAAACACTTCAACATTTATTACTTTACGTTCTTATCTCTTTCGCTTAAAAAAAAAAAAGGGAAAATTTTGAAGTATGTTTCTTGCAAAAAATTTAAGTACCTTCATTAATTCGATTATAATCATGACACGTAACCTGTCATTCCCGTCGAGAGGCGACAGATCATCACTAATGATTCTTTAGAGGATCTCCACGCGTTGACGACCATCGGATAATTATCGGTGCTT